CCCCCCGCCACCAAAAAAAAACAACAGAATTCATTGCAAATTAAAGGTCCTCTCGCCGAGAGCAGAACGACCCCGGTTTCAAAAAAAAATCTAAAAAAGTTACGGCCGGATTTTCGGCCCACCCGGTTTACCCAGGCGACCCCTCCGAGCCAACCTGCTGGGTGGCATCGTCACTCAGAATAATTAAGAAAATATTTCGAGTTTCAGACCTGCGTAGCACGGCGAACGTGTTCCCGCCCCTTCACGTTCGCGCAAACAGCTCGCGAACATGTTCGGGCGAACATAATTTTCTTTTGTAAAAAAAAGGAAAAAAAAATGATTTTTCGGTTTTTGATTTTTAACTCATGATTGGCTACGAATTTGGACATAATTCCAAGGCAAAAGTTGCTTGTATTGTTATTTTACATATTATATTTTTTTTTTCATATTTTTTTGAGAACTTTTTGTTTGTTTTTTTAAATATTTTTAATGTTCGCGTTCAAAGATTTTTGGGCGCTTGTTCACGTTCGGGCGAACATGTTCTAGTTCGCATCCGAACACGAACAAGGTGCTACATAGTTTCAGACTGCAGATATAATCAGAGAAACGACAAAAAATAATTCAACTGCAAAAAAAAAAAAAAAAAAAACGCGAGCTTGGCTAGGCTACCAGAGTGTTGTATATGTACACAGCATACACAAGGGATACAAGTACACACGAGTAAATTGCAAACTCAAATCCAAATACACATCGCAAAACGTGCACCGACTGTGTCTCCGACGGGTATCGCACCCCGACTGGTTTCGACCGCCGCCACGTGGTCTCTTCAGGTGGATAAACCACCTTCTTCTCCCTCGACTACTCCTTCCTTCCACTCACCCAACGCGTCAATGTCACTCCAACCATAGTCGGCTCCGTCAACGTCAGCCCGAAAAGATGGTAGAGAACACAATTATCGCTTATATCCTTCAGACCTACTATTGGTACGGTATCGTAAGTTCCTTCCTAAAGCCTAAAACAATCCCAACTATGTCGTTTCACTCGGCCCCGAAACTGGCCCCAGACCTTGCATCCCTTCCTAAGCGTAAACCCATTCCCAACAGGTACTAGTCCCGTTATTCCTCGTATCTGCTATGTCGTTTTGCTCGGCCCCAAAAAATTGGCCTCTGTTGAGAACAGATCCGGTACCTGTTCCATGGTCCACGAAACTGGACCCTCCATCCTGAACATACTGCTTCTAATGCTGCTGCACGATATCCTCTCGATCACAACTAAAAACCCTATCCCAATGAACATGTCAGCATCGTTACAATTCCCCAACGTAATGACTCAGTTATCTGCTCACCCATTGGCGTCCAAACCTAGAAGATTAACAAGAATATAGACATCATACGAAAATGCATCAACTACGAAATTCCGAAATCTGAAACTACAAATGCAACTTTACTGAGCAAACAGATAAGAGAAAACACAGAAAACAAATCCCAAAATAGTCCCTGTCACAGTGTATTCTACTGGTTACACTAAGAAAGGTTACTGTTCCAACAACATGCTCGTTGTTATCCTCGATATCCTACTTGCCACTCAAGCTCATCGTGAAATCTAATTACTCTGCTATGTATCACGCTGTGCGTAATTCATCTTACTCATTCCACTCCCGACTACCGATTTCACATTGCGCTCCTAACTACAGATCCAGTCACGTGTGAGCTCCCATATTTTCCCTCGTCCATTGCTGAATCTCTTGATCGTGTGGTTCACGAATTCTTCTGGGAAGCTCTTAAGCCTCAACTCTCTGCACAGTGTCAATACTCACCACGGGATCTCCGATGGAATCGTGGTGTTCGTTTCGATCCGGTGCAGGTAACTGGCTATCACAACACTTTTTTGTTGTTTGCTACCCCATGATTGGTAGCTCTGTCCATTCTTGAAGACCAACTCTTCATTATCCCAAACTGATTTCTCGTTCCTCGATACCTGCACACTTCCCACGTAAGTAGATGATCGCTTTGTTGTCATCTCCAATCCGAGGAAATCCCACGTCCCTTCTCCATTATCCGTCCTTTTCAAAGTGAGATTCCTTGGATAGCATGCTTCGAATCTCTCTCTGATGTCTTCCTCCACGTTGCTCTGTCGTCTCTTTCCCACGTCCACGATGAGAGTCACATCGTCCATCAGTCGCATCCCATGCACTCTGCTCCCCAGATTTCCCAAGTTGTTAAGGAACTTGAATTCTGAGTACGCGCACAGTATGCACGCTAACGGTGGGCTAGTACTCTTGCCCATCGGGATGCGTCCTGTCTGCCGTAGAAGTACTCCGGTCGCATGGAAGTACGTGTGTTCGACATCCACTCGCACGAACTTCCTGATGTCATCTAGATTCATCTCTCGCCAATGGTCTCCGCCTGTCGTTTTCCCGAAGGAACAGCCTCGGCCTCACGTGTTAACTCGAATGCTGCTCCGTCCTTTGCTCTGGTAGTGGTCAATGATCCAATTGACAGCTTCCAGAATATCCCGGTGTGGCAGTTTGCTGAACATGTCCTTAATATCATAGGACATGACTGCTAACTCCACATCCGAATTCGCCTTGGCTTCGCATCTCCGGTTAATCTTCCCGATGCTATCCACCACGCTCGAGACCGATCTCAGATTAAAGTGCCACCTGGCTGGTAGATAGAACAGCAAGTGGTTCAACGCTTTTGCGATGCATTTCCCCGTTCTCATAGTTGGGTCGGAGTACGACGGGCAAATTGGCTTGTATCTCTCGACGTCTTTGTGCTTGGGCTGTATGTAAGCCACACCGAAGGTCCTTTGTCTGTCGTACCTTGCGAACTTGGTCAGTCCTTCCTCTTTGAAGGCTCCTTGCACTGCTTGCTTGACTTCTTCCTCGGCTGCTTGCACGATCTCCTAACTTGGATTCGTCACAAAATTCTCCACCATGGCCTCGTAGTAGATGTAGGGCCACATAACGTAGGTCTCCCCTGGGTTCCTGTCTAGGGGTGTCAGCACTAGGCCCTGAAATCTCTTCTTCGTGGCTTTTACCACTTCAACGTCCAAAAAGTCACTCCCACTCTCCACATTTCCCGTCATGCAAATCTTAACTTCCTGCTCCGTAACACGCACGACCGTGTCCCCTCTGTTCTTCCAATGTCCGAATGCTTCTTCGATCTCCTTGCTTAGCAATCTTCGTCGACTCGGATGCTGTGCTCTAGGCACATTGTTGGCATTGCTCAACAACGGATGAATACCTGGCACTTCATGCAGACGAAAACGTACATGTTCCCCTATCCTTAGATAGGGGAGACCTGCGCACGAGCAGGTGGACACAGCTGCTCGGGCGTATACCCGTTGGTTGTGTAAAATCTCTGCTACTGACTGGTTCTTCGCCCAGACCGTCCGAACTTTACTTCTTGTACGTTTCGCATGCACTCCGGTAGTCCGAGCACATCAATCTTGTCGTTGACAACTTTCCTGACCTCCGCTAACTTCACACGATCGTCGTACCTAATCTTCACTGTTAAGTCCGCTCCCATACACCATCCGGTCTTTTCCTTAATTGCGCGAGATAACATCCGCCTCAGATAGGAACGAGTTGACTTCTGTTGGAAATCTTTTGCTGCTTTGTACCACCGGAACAAAACTTTTGTGTTGACCGCTCCTAAATCATGAATCCTTCTCGGATTACGTAATAGCCTTGTGAGGGTCTTCTTATCTGGCCCACTCTTCGGTCTCCACTTACGGAGGTGCTTGATGATGATAGTACGACCTTGCTCTATATCGGCTTTGCATTTTGCCAGTTTCGTTGTTTGGCCTGCGATCTCAACAGTAGTTGCGCCGTATGTATTCTTCACTTTCTTCCATCCTTTGATCCAACTGTTGCCTCCTGTAGAGTATAGGTGCAGTGTCCTCATCTTCCTTTGTTCGGCATCATCCAGAACCTTGAGAGCGTCGACGTGCCATTCATCTGCCTCCGACAATCGAAACTTGATTACCTCCAGAACACTACCTTCACCCTTGCTTAGCGGCTCACCGCTCCTTGCTCGTTGTTGTTCCTTCTTCCCTTTCCGCTGTTTATTTTTCCTTCGCGATTTCTTGTTCACACCGCTCACATTGAACGCTGGCGACCACTTTTTTATGTACAGTTGTTCAAGGTCAACCAAGTTGTGCGTTGCTTCTTCGTCGATCGGTAGCATCATGTAGGATTCGGATCCGAACACTCGCCACCAGCAATACAGGTGAGTGTTCTTCTCGTCCCATAGTCTTTTGAGGTCATCGGTGTGGAAGTCCGCGAGCTGTCTCAAGTTCTCAACTACGAATTTAGCCTTCCCTGCTGATCCAGTCTTAGCTGATATCCAAGTCTTGGGAGTGCCTCTTCGCGGTGTATACCGAATCGGGCTCGTATTCCCTTCGCCTCCCTGCTTCTTTATCTTCGTAGTTCTCTTCGCAGTTGCTGCTTGTAGCCTATTGGCTAGCTTCACCGGCTTCACCGTGGTCTTCCTTGGTGTCCACTTCGGTGGCTGCTCCATCGGTGGGCTGTTGCCTATCAGCCTATCCGGACTGCGCTTCCTCTTCTCGTTAATCGTTAAATCTTTTGCCTTGTGACTTATCTCCTCAATCTCGCTAGCGGTCCTTCCACTTGTGTAGGATCCTTGTGATCCTGATGATGATTGCGTTGGAGAAGTAGCGCGTTGCTTCCCTTTGACAATGGTTCGGAACATCTCTCGCAGTCCTCCCATACATACCGCCATATGCAATCGCATCGTCTTCTTGAACTCGAGTTTGGCTTCCTCTTGTTTCTTCATTTCGGCTTGCTTTTTCGCAGCGCGTCACTCTTTCGCCAAGCGTAACTCCTCTTTCGCAGCCCGTTCTGCTTCCTCCACTCTTGCACTTTCCAGCTTCTCGCGCTTCCTTCGCTCCTTGTCCTCTTTCTTTTTATTCTCCATCTCGATGTAAACTTGAAAATTCGCTACCGATTTTCCGAACTCTTCGAGTTGCTTTTTGATAGTCTCATCCACGATCGGTGCTGTCTTTTGGTTTGCTGAACTGCTTGCTCCATCGCTCTTCTTCCGGCATTGGTTTTTGTAGTGACAAGGCTCCCCGCACTCAAAGCAGATCGGAGGACCCCTTCGTGCGTACTCCCCCGCTCCATAACCTCTTTCGTTGCGTTCTTGGTAGTCATTCCTGCTCCTACCTCGTGGCCTTTCCCTCGGTTCTTCGCGTCTCGTATATCGGCCCCTGTCATAGGAGTCGTTCCTTGAGTCTCTGCCATATTCTCGATAATTACGACCGCCCATTATTCGGATAGTGTAGCTGAACCAGTACTATTCGCTGGATTGTTACTCTCGTGACTGCTGCTGCCAATCTATACTCTCCTCTTGCTCGTTACTTCTACGATCTCTCCAACGCGTCAACTCCAATCGTCGTCTTCTCAACACTCACATGCTCACACATCGCCCAACAACACGTCTCCAGGCAGGTTCACATGTGCTTCAACAGTTGTATATGTAGTATGAGATAGCAAAGACAAGTATGCACACAACATACACAAGGTTTACAAGTACACACGAGTAAATTGCAAACTCAAATCCAAGTACACATCCCAAAACGTGCACCGACTGTGTCTCCGGCGGGTATGGCACCCCGACCGGTTTCGACCGCCGCCACGCGGTCTCTTCAGGGGGATAAACCACCTTCTTCTCCCTCGACTACTCCTTCCTTCCACTCACCCAACGCCGTCAACGTCACTCCAACCGTAGTCGGCTCCGTCAACGTCAGCCCGAAAAGATGGTAGTAAACACAGTTATCGCCTATATCCTTCAGACCTACTATTGGTACGGTATCTTAAGTTCCTTCCTAAATCCTAAAACAGTTCCAACTATGTCGTTTCACTCGGCCCCAAAACAAGCCCCAGACCTTGCGTCCCTTTCTAAGCGTAAACCAAGTCCCAACAGGTACCCGTTATTCCTCGAGTGGTCCGGGTCCACTTACCTGGCCAGGCCAAAATGAAATAAAAAAATAAAAAAATAAAATTACTTTTTAATTAAAAATTTTGATGTAAATTTGGTAAACAATTTTGATGTGACCCTGAGGCAAACGTTGTTCACTTTATTTTTCAACATTAGACACTTTTTAAAACTTTTTTTTCGGATTTTTTGGATTCTCTTTTTTTTTTTTTTTTTGGCTTGGACCTTCCCTGGTCCTTGCACGGCCGGCCTACCAAGGAAAATAGGGTGACCCAAGCAGCCCGGCTGGTAGCCTAGGAGTGAGTTCAGATAACTCCAAAAACAAAATTCGGATTAATTCCAAATGCGAGTAAGCGCAACAATTTTTTATTTTGGGAAGTAGAAATCCCAAAACTCACCGTGAGGAGAGATTTTCCGAGAAAAATAAAATTTCAGAATATTAATATATTATAGTAACAAAAAATTCGAAATTCCAAAAAATAAGGGAAATCAAAAATTTCAGCCACTAATTAATGCACGATTCATAACAAAGAAAAAGAAACAAATTAGCGCAGAGAAAAAGTTTCGACAATCGGAAAAAATTTTGGATTCATCAAGCAGCGAATTTTCGAAAACCACAAAAAGAAAATTGAAAATTTCAAGTACTACGCAATTTTGAATTTTTCAAGAAACAAATTTGCGCCAAAGAAGGAATTCTGAAAGAGAATAAAATTTTCGAAATTTGGCAGCTAGATGGAAAACGCGAATTGGTAGTAATTAGTTTAATTTTATCAACGAATCAATCAATCACTCAACCAGTCAATCAATCAATCAATCAACCAATCAATCAATCGATCAATCTACCGATCAATACTAATCATGGCTACGATTCGGACCACCGGACAGGGATCCGGACCGTCCGTGGTCCGAGGTCCGGGGTCCGGGTCTGGATCTTGGTCCGGACGTGAGGGCCCCAGCACAATGGCCAAAATTTTTTTGGGTGCTCCAGGGCGGTTGTTCACGCCCTGGGCCGCCCCCAAAAAATAGTGCCTTATTTTTTACCACTCTCGTCGACGATCCAGAAAGCCCGTAAAGTCCACGAGGGGGTTTGTTTTCTCCATACTTTTTCGAA